TTTTTTTTTTTTTTTTTAACTCTCATCAACTCAGTTGTAAAGCACAGAAGTCAAGGGTCATTTCTGATTTCATGTTTGTTTCTCCTATGCAAATCTGATACAAATCTCATCATTTCTCTGCTTAAAAATACCACAATGCCTCTCCCATCTACATGATTAAATATCTAGTCTGAATCATAAAGTTCCTGATATTCAGACCCTTACATCCTGGTCCATCTTTGTATGGTTTCCACACTTAAATAAGGTGTAGTAATTCTCACTCTCAACTTTTCCTGTGGTCACTGAAACTTAGGTGTACTTTTAAATGTTCAACAACACAAACCACCACAGGAGATTTTGAGTTTCTATTTGTTTTTCAATAGTAAAAATGGCTTGTAGGAAAAGGCTACGATTATAACACAATTCAATGATTAGAGATAATTACTCAAGTAATTTGTTTCAATATATTAAAAGCTTAGTGGGACATGGACTATTAAAAACCCTTTTCCTGATTCCAAATGATAACTTCCCATCTGGCAAATTGGTTTCATTTTCTTCTTATGCAAGTTTATATACTTTAAAACTGTCTGAAGGTGCCCCCTTATACTCTACAATATGTATTTAAATAAACTAGTCTTTCACTAACCGGACCCAATAAAATTGAGAATTTGCAAAAGGCAAAATTTGGGGTTAAAATTTGGTCCACATAAACAAAACACTCATAGTAAATTAAAAGTGTGAATTAAACTGATAGAGAACCCTCCCTATAGAAAATAATTTGTGGTACCGTTTAAAGACATTTTGCTAGATATAAATATTTCTCTTTCTCTTCCAGTTACCTAAAGAGCATGTGTTGGTTTATAAATTTGATATGTAAACCAGAAAGAAGAAACTCTGTTTTTAAATATCAACCTTGAACAGTGTTCAATCTAAGAAAGGCCAACAGTGTTCAATCTAAGAAAGTCCTTTGGCATATTAAGCACATAGTTCCTTCTCTTAGATGCCTCAGACATTTCCGTAATAATGTGTTGCTTTGAAATTAGACATTATCCCAAGGAACCCGAGGCCAAACAAGGTTCTACCTGTCACGTTTTGGAAATAACCAGGGTATCTAAGAAAGTTCATAATGTAAGAGTAACTGGAACTAGAAGTCTGCATCCATTATGATGGCTGAATATCTAATATTTCTATTTGGTAGCCTTTTCTCTCTTTTCCTTTCCCTTTTTCTTTTACTACTGAGAAATCTGTGTGTTTTTAATTGAGATTTAGATCCTTAATCTACTTTTTTATTTTGAAATATTTCAAGCACAAAGAATTATGTTGAGGGTGATATGTTTAAGTTATAATTCAATGCCCAACTTTATCAAATATTAACATTTAAGTAAACTAGTTCTTACAAATATATGTAACTTAATATAAATATAATATTGGGTTTAGATCTATTTTTAAAGAAATAAAACATCACTGAAACAACTGTAACTCCTTATGTCTTCACTCTTTCATTACTTAGAGGAAAATCTATTTTGAATTTGATGCATAAATTTTCCAGAATTTTTGTTTGTTACTTACACATGAATGTATGTATGCATAAGCCATATCATTTGATTCTTTAAACTTGATATACCCAGTATAATTCTGTTTGCATTCCTATACTACTTGATTCTATTCCTTGAACATTGTGTTCCTGAGATTTTTCTATGCTAATGCATGCAGCTTTATAAAAAAAAAATTATACTTCTGTACCCATTAAGTGACTATACTTCAATTTATACATTGTTTGCAGAACTTATAGCTTATTCTTTTTCTATTATAATTAACACTACAACAAATACTTTTGGAAACTGTCTATTATTGCACATGTGGGGAAGGTTCTCAAGAGTATATAGTTAATTGTACAAAGCTGGTTTTTGGGGTGTGCGCATTTTAAACTTCATCGAATATTGCCAAATCAGTCTCTAAAATGTGTGTTTGAACCAATATATACACAAGAAAAAGTATATGAGCTTCTGAAACAAACAATAAAGTATTTACAGCATCACCTTTCTGAGCAAGTGTTTCCTGGACAAGTAAGCCATGTTAATGAAGATAAGTTGTATGGTTACAAATACTTTTGATTCTCAACATAAATATTAAACTCTTATTTCTTTAGTCCTAGATATCATTCATATAGCTTTCTATATTCAAACAAATACAACTGGGATTTTCTAAATTATTCATCTTCTGTTGCATTTTGTTTAAAGTAATAGCTTGGACATGATCTAGGACCTAAGAATGCCCTATATAAAAATATTTTTTCTTTTAAAGATTATGCATTACTTCAAACTCTCATGTTTGAACCTTGTCAAAGTGCTCAGAAAATCTGACATTTCTCCATGCAACATCTCTACAATTTATTTCATTGCCAGGATGGAGGAGATGCTATAATAATATTATCTGCTTGTGAATATAAACTATCCCTCATGTGTGTACCAGATTGGCAAAAAAGTATAATTTTCTCTAGAAGAAATTTAAGAAATGTCTTTATAAAACAAACAAAACAAAACCCTTGGCTTACTTCTTTAATAAATTATACAGCTAATCATATAGATGAGTATTTTAAGAATTCACTTATAAGATAGTAACTTGAAATCTTAAAAGTAGTCACTTGTGGTAATAATATTCATCTCAGTCCACCAAACTTTAAATAAAGCTTAACTATGTAATTGTATTAATTGGGGAGAATCACTTAATCTTTTTTCATAAGGAAAATTATTGTAAACTTACAATGCAGAATATATCTACTGACAATTGTCAGGAAATATTTTCTTTGGTATTTGATTTAGTGCAATATTACTGATAAAATTTAGTTACCATGTTCAGGGGCGAGAAAACAAAACTTGCACACAAAACAACATTCTGTTGATCACCATAGAATACTAATGTTTGTGTTTTATTATAATACAACCAAAATATACATTTAACAAATTTCAATTATTTTAGATTACAAGACTACATTTCTCTTAAAATAGCAAAACTATGAATTCAAAATTGACTGCTAAGCACTTACAATACCAGAATTAAATTATACAATTAACTGACAGATTCCTGCCCTTTTCCCCAAAAAATCATCTATTGTAAACTTACCATAAATACTTTATACTACAAAATATTTAAATGAGAGGTAAAAGTCATGTCTATGTTCCTGCCTTTGCACTGTCAATGGGTAGCATCTTGGAATTTTAGATCTTATTTTTTAGCCTCACATGTAAGTTAATTTATTTAAATATTGTGGTCTTCTTCTGCGAGAAAACATATCTTTCTATAAAAAATTTTAAATATTTTTTTCTAAACTATCCATTCCCAACAAGGTGAATCAATCCCAACATATTGTCAAAGAGAAAAGTAACTTTCTAAACAGAAGCTATTTCAGGTTTTAATTCCATTTGTATTAATTACATTTATGAAATATATATTTATTTAAAATGTTAGTGTTAAATGAATGTTTTTGTTCAATTTAATATTTTTTTGACATCTAGATGATATGAAATTATCCTTAAATTTTAATTTTGATAACGTTCAAAAGGAGGCAGTGACGACTGTTAACTACTTTTTTTTAGTTTAGACCGTACAATCCAGCAGGAACAAACTTGATAGCATATGAAGAACCAAAATATAGGCCTAAGGCAAAATTCAAGACTAAGACCATTTTGCAGGCAGCATATATTAAATAAGCATTATTTAGTCAACAGGTTGATGAGATTGTGTGTCCATTATAGTTCTACTACTGTGTGGCCTTTGCAAATTTCTAAATTTCTTTATGGCTATTTTTTCCTTCTCTTAAATAATTTGGTTGGTTTTCAAAAGTGTTTATTGAACAATGTGAATGTAATATTTTGAGCTTTTTGGTAGGGGGAGGGTTTTACATAAATTAATTACTCAACAATCCATTTCTAAACAAACTTTTTAAATTCCTAATAAACTGAATGTAAAATGAGTGCAGACAGGCAGGATTCTATGTAGCAGCATAAATAGCTGGAATGAAATGCAGGCAAAAATAGGAGAGTCAAAGACATATGTATTCAAAATGGGAAGAAAATATGAATCCAAGTACAAACATAGACATTTGAAGACATCTTCATAAAGAGCTAATTTCTAATTAAATGTACTTGAAAGTATTAACATAATTTTATTTTTCATAATTTCAAAGAGAATTTGGTAAAACCTTCAGTGGGAGGAAGTATATATATTGTGTCTTGTCTTACATTGAACATATTCACACTGTTCTTCAAGTGTTCTAGGCAATGAAATGGTTAAGAAATTAAATGTAGCTTAGATGTCTTCTATCTTTATAAATACACATAAATCTTTGTCCATATGTTTTTTTAATTATATGACATTCTATTTTAGCAACAATATTTTAAGTAATTATCATAAATCAATAGTTTTAGATCCAAAGCAGCCAGAATATTAGCTGTAAATTAAAATAGGTTTCCCAAATTTGTCTGAATAACTATGAAAAAAAGAACTAATTTAAAAATGTCTTGGACATTCATATTTAGATGAAAAACAAATTTATTTTCACTAGTCAATCTTAGAATTTGAGCTTCTTGTAATTTTCTCAAAGCCATCCATAATTTGATCATTACTGTCTGACATACAAATATGTGGAAATCTTTAAAAAATAAAACATACTCCCACTTACTTACTCTGAGCTTGCTATGAGTTCCTGAAACATTTTAACCCAGCAAATCAACACTTATAAACACTCTTGCTATGGTATCTAATTAGCTGTCTGATCCTACAACTATTCTTCTGCATTATTAAAAGAGTGATTTGTTCTGGTTTGCTTTTTTTAAAACCTAAGTTTTAAATCCTTACGTTTTTCTTATACAGAAACATCTACAAATATTTATGAGTTTCCTATCAAAAGGGGTACTTAAGCTCATCTATCAGTGGGAGTACTTTGAGATAAGTAAGGGGTGTGAATAAAATGAATGTAAGATAGAAAGGTTTGAACATCAAGTCAGACATAGACATGATGCTGAACACTGAAAGAGCTGCTCTCTAATCACACAGGTTCTCACAGGCTTTTCTTCCAAGACACGTAGAATGCATGAGAAACCAGCAATGCCTGCTATTTAGTTTTCTGAAAAGCTGCCTTCCATGTGAGGAAGTGACTAATTTTTCATTTCACACTAAAAAGGGCATGAAAAGGCAAAACAGAAGAAGGCTAAGGGTTTGGTGGTTAAGAAGGAAAGGTGAGTCCTGCTCAAATGGGCAGAAAATATACCATGCATGTTCAGAAGTAAAGTCAAACTGGAAATATTTGAAAGTGCTAACAAAATACGAAAAAGGTTTGTTGTGAGCTTGTTTTCTTTACATGCAGTAGGCTTATTTATTATTAAATTACTAAAAGAATGCTACTTGAATTACAGCACATAATCTCAGAAATGCAAAAAGACTGTGTGGAAAAAAAGATGTCAAAGAGTTAACTTAACCCTTTCCGTTGTCAAATTTTTGCATTCGTTCTGTTACTTAACAATATATCTCCCCGCTTCCCACCACCTTTGTCTACCTAATTCTATCTCTATGTATGTATATATTGTTTTCTTCTATTCACTCAAATAAAATCCCATAATCCAATATCCAAGCGAATAAAGGCAGTAAATGAAAATAATTTATAGAGTATGATGAATTTTTAGGAAAAATACTGACATCCCCTTGGTTGTAAATAAATTCATGTTCATTCTTCCCATGATCCTTTAGAAAATTTACTTTTCCTCAGACTTTTGCAAGCAGTGTTTTTTTATATAATCTAGGATTTTTTTAACAGATGTATTATAAATTGGCAGCTACTTATACTCTGGTGAATAAAGCTACGTTACATTTCACCCACTTTATTTGTGACTGTTCTTCCTTTTTATGGGGCTATGAGTTTTCCCCAAAGCCAGAATTTATAGCTGTCTTTCCTTCTGTCTCTTAACAAATCCCATCTGCATGCCTTCCCATTAGGATGCAGTATACATCATTAGGTTTCCCTTCTTTTATTTAAATGTTTTCCCATATCTTGCTTAAATATTTATTAAGCATTCTGTCCTTGTAAAGCTCGGCATACCATCTAAAAACACATAACTGAGCACCCACTTCTCTCTGTGAACCTGTTTCTCCTGGTAAGTCATAAGGAATCCCGGGAGGAACATTTATAGCCTTCAGTAAATCAATGCTGTAGTACACTAAATGACCCCTGTGGTCTGAAAAAAAATACTGCACCTCTCCAAATTCCTAAACCATGCACCAAGAGTGAATGGCTCACCGGGAAAGTTCCTGATGGTATATGAGTGGTCTGAATTTGTGTCTTCTCTCCAATTCCTACCACAAGGTAGCCAGTTCTAGAGTGAAATGATTTATCTGTTCATAAGAACATATGGCACAATAGCATGGTAAACTCCTTGCTTAATGGCCATGCGAGGGAAACAAAGCACCTTAGTACATTATCAAATGAGATGTTTGCTTAGCTCACTTATTTACATGACATCATAAAGTCAAAAATTCAGAACATAAGACATTTACAAATGCAAAGTCCCTATTCTGAGGATAATTCTTATACACTGCGGGTACAAGTTTAGTTCTTGGAAAACTGGTTCAGATGACTTACTTGCCCTTCTTATGCCATAGTCACCATACACAGAGTTACTGATTACTTTTCCCATGCCTTAGCAAAACTCCATGGAAAACTCTTATGAGTTAGTATAAAGGATGTACAAACAGAAGACAGTATTTTGCAGGTAAAGAACTCTTTTCTTTAAATAGAAAACTACGTGGCCACCGCTCTAGGAAGCTTATCTCCATGATGTCTTCGGTTGCGTTTCTTCTTCATTTCCTGCATGTGCTTCCACTTTGGGACGCCCTTGTTTCGCTGTCTCCGCTTCTCCCTGTGCCACATCTGTTCGCAGTACTGGTCGAGGCTGAAGTTTGGGCTGCTAAGGATTTGGATGTAGTCTTTGTATCTCAACCGTGACTCAGCCAACAGATCCTTGACCTGCCCCTCCTCGTGCTCTGCCCTCTGGGTATTTTCCATCTGTTCATTCTCAATGACATTCAAAGTCAGCTTCACTATGGTGTGGATGAAAGTGTGCTCCTGTGCCTTGCAGTAATACATCCCAGAGTCCTTCTTCTGCAAACTTCGAATCAGTAGCCCATATTCTGTTTTGATGATCCTTTCATCGGGTTTCAACTGCAGAATTGGAAAAATGTAGGTAATAAATGAAAACCAGAGAGAGCTATGAGCAAATGAAAACAGGCTACATAGTTTTACTTAGATGAACCTAAGATATGCTCCCTGTTTCTCTGTCATCAAGTATAATATTATCAGCCATAGCCAAAGAGTGAAAAAATTCAACTGAAGTAATAGCCCCCAAAATGCATGTTTGCATCTTATGATGCCTAACTGAACCTTTGGAATACAATTAGCTTTTCTCCCAGTCTATGGATAAGAATGAAAAGTTGTAAAAAATGAATGAAGTAAAACTGGAAACTATCAAATGACCACCTTCACAGAGATTTCAGATACTAATGGGTGTTCTAAGAATTTCAGAGGAGAATGTGACACAGACAGTCATGTATAGACTAGAACAATGATTTCAAAAGGAATTTGCTCTGTTTTCTAGATATCACCAAATAAATGATCTGAACAGCATATGGAAACTGTAAGTGGTGACTTGTTAAAAGTCAAATGGAAAGGCATGGATACAGCCTTTTGATTGTCAGAGCTGTAAGTGAGCAGGACCATAGTCAGGAGGTTAGCAACATTTAAAGCTGAATTTCCCTCTTTACTCTGGATTGAATTTTGATACTGTGTGTATATATGATACTTTGGAAGATGTCATTTATGGAAATATTTGCCATACTTCGATATACTATAACATGGTAATGTGATTTCAAATGTGAGAACGCTCATTGAACAAAAAGAACCTCCCCTGAAATGCGATGCTCTTTACCCTTTGAAGCAGCACTACTGAAAGGCAATTCAAACATTTAAGCTGGCCGGGCCAGGCCCACAATCTGGTGTGACTAGCGAACCTATCTTCAATAAAACTAAAGGCATGTTTACTGACACCGGGCCCTGTTTAATGTGAAGTATTGTTAAGTGGCTGGGCATTAAGTAGAATCACAACAACAACAAAGAAGTCTGGAAGATTTCCAGTTTACACATCTGCCCCTGTACTGTAGACTTTCAGTGGATGGAAATCAAGGAGGCATAAAGACGACTAAATTAAATTTATTCACAGTGGGTGGACTAAGCTCTGCATCTTTATGTGAAAAATATGTAGGAAAAATCCCTCAATTCTGGAAATATGAGAAAAGGAAAAGAAACATCTCTGGCTACCAGCCCAGTTAACTAACAAGTATATGGCCAACCACCCTCTGTGCCAGAGAAGTGCAGCTGGTGGGGTACCACGCGAGGCCACAGGCAGGTCACAGAGCAGGCCCCTGGTTAATGAGGCTGAATGGTCTCCAGCCCTGCCTTCACTCTGCACGGAACCCACCCCATTAGGGTTTTGTTTGTTTGCTTGTCTCCCTTACTTTGCCCATTTTGTCAGCTGGGTGTGTACTATTTTTTCTAAGGAATTTATTCTAAAAAAACCGGACCTTTTTAAACGCTATTATAACACAAACTAATCTTGAATTCACTTATATCCTCAGTAACCATAGGAGCCTTGTGCCTAAAATAAATGTGAATTTGCATTGTAGGGTTCTAAGAGGCCAATCTGAAACAGAAACTACAATCTCAAATTTAACACGCTAGATATATTTTTTATTTCAAATAATTTTACTGTAGAAATACCTTTTAAAATTTAAATACATCTTATAACACAAAACACTGACTCCATGAGCCTAGTTGCCGGTCCCTATCTGCTAAGCTTCCGATGATAACTCATTTATCTTCCTTGCTTGGTCTCCCATTTATCAAGTTGGTGACATAGCATATGGTGTTTTTTGGGGGCGGGGGTGGGGGGTTAAAAGTAAAGCTCTTGGAAGGTTGAAGTGTGAAGTATTATTAGCACACTATATGTTGTTGGAGAGGTGATGTTCTGAAGCCTTTATTTCTGTAATTCTTTTAGTAGAAAGTGGCCTATGGTTATTAGCATGACAATCAAAGCAGGCAACCTCCTTTCCAGTTCACATCTAGATTTCCCTTCATGGCTGGTATTCTTGCTAATGTTTAAACTGTTCAATGTGGCTTTAAAGATTGTCACAGCTGTGACGCACCACTTTTTATTGTTCTCTTTAATCTTCTGACAGGAAGAAATTATGACTTTGATTTCACACCAAATATACAACACTCGGTCATTATTTTTGCTATTGTCTTTTTGTATCCTGTTTACTTTGCTGCACTCTGAAGTCTTTCCACACTGCCTCTGTCCCCCCAGGACTCGGAGTTTCATAGACACCTGGCATCTCATTGCTCCATTGTGATCCTTCCCCTTTCCTTTTGTCCCATGGAATGCTTAATTTTTCTTTGGTTTTTGACCTACAGATATAAAACTTGCTTTAATACATTTTAGGCTTTCTGGATTTATCTAATGTCTATCAGATCGTGCAAGTGACTTTTCCTAAAATTTCAAAAATACATAATGGTGTCTCTAACAAAATACATTTTGAATGACATATTTTCATAGGGCTTTTGTGATCGACAGACAGGTATGTGTGACCCAGAAATTAAGTGGTTGATGAACATTTGCCTACTTTACATTCTCATTCACTGTAATGCTTTCACTCTATGCTGGAATTATGCAGACTACATCTCGACCGTGAAATGTCAGCACAGTCAATTTAGAAGATTCAGCTCTTCTACAAAGAGATAATGTAATCTCTGGCCACTAATTTAAACTCATGGAATTTTCTCCACTCTAAAAGTGATAAGTAAAAACTGCTCACCCTTACAAATCAAAACCATGCTTGAACGGGGGTCGACTATCCATTTGCCTAATGTGAACAATGATAATATATTTGGCATTATTAAATGTAGACCTTCAAGGAAGGGCAATTCATTTAAAATGAGAAGAGTAACATGGAAGGGACAAAGGACATTTAGGTACTAAGCAGCAGGTAAAGGTCAGGGACTTCCTTCTCTGATAATAGCAGTCTAATGGTAATTCCTTTGCAGATAATTCACCTGTCATTTCTTTCACAGCTAAAGCACTGCACATGTCTTAGATGTGACTGGGGCTTCAAGAATATCTCCTTTCTCCAACAAACACAGACGGAAGACATTTAAAAATAGTGCTGAGGCAACTGGCTCATTATTTAAAAGAAAAAATTGAATTTATATATAACTAACTCCTAGATTTATTTAATATCTCTGAGTAAATTTAAGTATAAAATGTAACTTGTAATTTTAAAAATAAAATCATAAAAAATCTTTTTTTCTGTTTCATTGGACAAGGAATTTTTAAACTTAAGTGAGAAATCATACAAGTATAAATCAATAGCTTTATATAAATTATAAATATAAATTATAAAACTTTTGTATGTTAGAATCACAAAAAGTTTCAGCAATAACATTAATAAAAAGTTACTTTTAATATGTATATTGAAATGTCAATATCTAATATATATAAATGGTTTGATAAAATAATTTTTAAATAAATACATTGATGCAGACAAAGCAAATGACAGGGCATTTTACCAAATGCAATTGAAACTAATAGCCAAGAAACATGACAAGGCAGTTCACATCCAGTAATATTCAAAGAAATAAACATTAACACAATATAGCATTTTTCCTATCAAACACAGATATTTTCTTAAATTATAATACAAAATTTTGCCTCAGGAGTTCAGAAAGGGCACTAATATGCTGATTTTGATGGGAAATTGGCAATATTCAGTTGTTTATTCGAAGCCATAAAGACAATTAAAGCCTTTAACTCATTTATTTTTCTTCTAAGTGTCTGTCTTAATAAAATAGAAAAGTAGAGAAAGATTTAGATATAGGGAAGTTGATTACCTTTCTTTTGAGAGAAAACATAAGCTTTTTAAATAAAACATGGAACATTTATGATGACTGTGACATCAAGACAATGGAGGTGGGGGACAGGAAAATATGGTCTTAAAATTGAATGACAAGGGAAAATGCTCACAATGTAATGGTTAGTGGGGAAAAGGTGGAATAGACATCAAAATACGGTATTTGTGCTCATCTATGCTTAGGGGCCTCATAGTTCTTTATATGTTACTATATTTCCACAACCATTGATATCACTGTTATAATAAAAAGAACCAAATAAAACAAAGAGCTACACAGAAAACAATGCAAATATTTGAAGATACTTTATAAAATATTTTGAAAATCCACAGAAAAAAGACTGCCATAAATCATATGAGGTATTGCCTCTCCTATTTATTAATATCCCAAAAGTTCAACAGAAGCCTGGGGGCTGCGATTAACTCGCTGGTTATAGCGTAAACATCATCCATTTCCAGCACAGCTTTGTAAGAAAGTCGGCAGATAACTGACTCATGGCCTCCTCAACAGCACCCAACTGTGAGATGGCTCAGTAAGGAAATGTCCTCCCCCTGGCAGAGAAAAGCCTGGTGACAGCCCCTGTGCCACAGGAGATCCTGGTCCCTCCCTCAGGCTTATTTTGGGTGGAGGAAAGATTCCAAACGGTGACCTTCCTGGTAAGGAGCAGAGGGCATCCTGCTGGGAAAAATGTTTCAAACCTCAGCTGGATTTGGCCCCTTTCCTCGGCTCAGGAAGCAGCATGGCAGAGCCTGCACTTCGTGTAACTAGCTATTTACAAAGATAAATGAAAATGCCATTGAAATATTACAGCTCAGATACTTTTAAGTAAAATTCAATAAATATACTATTTCTGCTCCATTGAAATTCATGGAGCATGGTACCCGCCGTGACTGTATGATATACTGTTTAAAAGTAAACTAAAGTAATGCATAACATTTTCAGGAGTATGAAAGATGTGAATGCAAACATGCATAGTCAAATGCATGTATCTGTAACTGGGAGATTACCCCAAGCAAAGGACCATACTTTTTTTTTTTTTAAAGGCAGATTAAATTTACTATGAAGGAAAAATCACTATTAAAAAATTTTATTTAACTGAAAATAAATGATCAAACTTTATTTATAATAAAAATATTTAAAATACTGGTTTGGAGCATTTAAAAATAAACTATTGCAATGTATCTATGAGAAAATCTGCATGTTAAAAAATTCGGGTAACATTCTTCAATATTTCTTGGATAAAAAGTAAATGCTTTATAAGTTGAAATTAAATAAACTTCTATGTCAGATAATATTTCAATATATACTGGTAAAAGAGGATCCTTAAACATTTAGTATAAATATGGGTATGCCATAATTTTAGAATTTATGGGCATCAATAATAATGAAAAATCAAGTTTTCCTGGAGCAATCTGACATCATAAGGGATGAAATTATTCCCTTGGTATTAAGTATGTTGTGTCATTATTTTGATATCAAATTTTATTCTTAAAGATAGATGAAGAGAATCATATTAACTTTTTAATACAGGGTGGGACAAAAGGAGGTTTACAGTTGTGAGTACAAGAAACAGTTCTTTCTTGTATTGCTATTTATTAATTATTGTATTATTTTCCATATGAACAACTGTAAACTTACTCTTGCCCCACCCTGTATAATGGTGGAACATACCTTTGAACCATTTTCTTATGATAAAATTTGATTCTCGCCCGGCAGGGCGTGGCTCAGAGGTTAAGCGTGGACCTAGGATCCAGGCGATCAGGGTTCGATTCCCTGTCAGGGCACATGCCCGGGTTGCAGGCTGTAGCCGATCAATGACTCGCTCATCATTGATGTTTCTGTCTCTCTCTCTCTCCCTCTCCTTTCCCCTCTCCAAAATCAATAAAGATATATTTAAAAAAAAAAAAAATTGATTCTCCTACACCAAGGTTTCTCAACTCGGCACTACTGAAATTGGGGCCAGATAATTCTTTATCGTGAGAGATTG